ACCCGCCACACACACACACACCTGTATACGGAGGAGGGGGGTGTACGCGTGCATATACATATATGTATCCACATTTCAAAATTCAGCACAACGCTTTGTTTTTGTTTTTGCTTTTGTTTTTCTCTCAGTTTTGTTTGATTTGGGAAACACAACAACGTGGAAATTTTGATTCAGGTCTATGGCAAAGTAATTGGTAAGTAATCTGGTTGTTGTTGCTGTGGTTGGTGTTGCCTGTCTGTGGTGGACTGTGGCTACTTAAAACTGCTGGTAGTTGCTGCTAGTGTTCTTGTTTTGGTGGTAATTACTCGACGTGTTGTTATTGTAATAGTTGCTATGAGCATTATTATGTTGTTTGTTGTATTTACCATAACCGTAGTCATATCCATTATAATAGCCGCCGGCATAGTAATCGCCGTAGCCACCGGCAGCTCCATAGCCGCCATAGCCGCCGTAGCCAGAGTACGAGCTCTGGCCGTCCCACTGGTTGTTGTAGCCTGCGTACAAAAATAGAGATCGATACGCAGTTAAAATCTATGCTCATTCATTAAAATCTATGCCAGATGGCAGATGGATGTGCTCCGCTCTGCTCCGACTGTACTGACCACCGCGTCCGTAGCCACCGCGTCCACCGCGCATTCCACCGCGAGCACCACCGCGCATTCCCATCATTTGGTTCTCGGGCTTAGGCGTGGCACGCTTCACGTCGACCTCCTTGCCAGAGATCTTCTGTTTGGGCGTCTTCAGCAGATCTGTGACCACCTGCTCCGAATCGAAGGTGATGAAGCAGAAGCCTTTGCGCTGCGATTTTTGCTTGTCGAAGGGCATCTCAACCTCAACAATCTAAAGAATAGAGATCACAATTCGTCATTAAAAATTATTCAAAACTTTTGCAACATTGCTGAAACTTACGTTGCCGAACTGGCCGAAGTAGGTTTTGATTTCCTCATCGCTGATTTCTGTGGTCAGGCCGCCGACAAAGATCTTGCCGTGGCGGGCCTTGGCTTTCTTGGGGTCGACCTTCTTGCTGTTAATAACGTGCTCTTCCGCAGAGCTCACCTTATCGATGGCCTCAGTGTTTGTGAATACGATGAAGGCGAATCCCCTCGAGCGTCCAGTCTGTGGGTCTGTCTTTACATTGATGCTCTCGATTTCGCCAAATTTGCCGAAATGGTCCCTCAGTTCCTCTGTAATGAACAAGAAGCATGGGTCAGCCACTGGCCGCATACGATTTCAAATAGTCTTTCTACTCACTCTCGGTCGTCTCCCAGCTGAGGCCGCCCACAAAAAGTTTCCTGCGAAAGGTTAGAGAATAATTTGGGTTTAGTTGGGCATTGCTTTAAGGGTTATTTCCACCGATTAGGGGGGGAGAAGGGAAAAATCATTTTGGGGACAACTAGGGGCACGGAAAACGGAAATAGGCTGTGTTTTATAGTTTATTCATCGATTTACTTTAAATTTCTCTTCTTACATTTTGTTTATGGCTGCAAAAGATTGATGGCAGAGCTAGGATACAAACGAATAAAAAAAACTCACCAAATTTGAAGTGAAAATTGCTTTAATTACTGTTTTCAATCAGAGATCTGATCAGATTATATAGTATCAAAAACTTGCAAACTCAGAAATGAGCAAAAGAGTGCGACGAGCGATCGATAGCGAGCGAGAGACACAAACGAGCGAAAGATATATGCAAAGAGTGAATATTTAGTTTTTTTTTTTTTGGGTTTTTTTTTTTACATAGTTAAAAATTAGTTTTATTCGATATGAGAAAAATGCAAAGGTTTTATTCTGGATTCTGGTTTTACTTGCTTTATTTGTCTGTTTTATAAATTGTTAAGAGAATAGAATACTTAATTTATTCCGGGCTGTACGTTACACTTCAGAAACGGCAAAGTTCAGAAACGGCTCGGTTCTGCGGATTGGATTTCGGGCAATTTGGAACAGTCTAGTCTCATCACGGCGGAGGAATTTAGAGGCATTTAAGACTATCAATATCGGCATGTCGGCGCACATTTTCGAATCCGATCCGTATCGTGGGGAGCAGCGTTAGCGTTACGTTACTTTCTTTTTGTTTCTGCCTTTAACTCTCTTTCACTCGGTCTCGTTCTCGGTCTCTCTCTCTGATATATTTTCTTTTCTTTTTAAACAATAATTGTGTCATATGTACGTTAAGATACTCTCCTGTATAGGGCACAGATATTACATATTTTACAGTGATCCAATTTGAAATCGAGATAATTGCTGACAATTTTGTGTGTACATAGTTCTATTGACTGATTGATTGATTGATTTTTTAGTTTTGGTTAGATAAATACCATCAACATCAATATCGGCGTGGGTTGAGGGCATCCGTTGCGCATGCTCCGAATCCTCGGCCAAGGGAATCCCATTTCCGCTCGGGCTTGAGAATAGTTTAGCCTTCTCTCAAGACCTGCCGGAGAGGAACAAGGTTAGTTCGCTCAAACACAACAGGAAAAGCTATGTATTGTTTTTTGTTTTGTTTTTAGATTGTTTTTTCTTTATTTTTGATGTTTTGTTGGCGCTCCTCCTTCCACTTCAGGGCTGCTTTCCTCGGCTCGTGTTCAAATGACGTCTCTTGACTTAAGATTAAACTTAGGCATTATAATGATCAATAGATGGAAAAATGACTCATACTCCCATAAACAAACCAAGAAGTAAACGAAACGCAAGACAAAAGCTAAACAAAGAACCTTCTCTTGGCCGATCCAAATCGGATTATCTTTATCACAATTTAATAGGGAAGATCCAACAAAAATGTTAATTTTCATTTAATTTTTTTTCCGACTCCACAACACTGTTTTAATGCCGGCTGGCAATGCTTCGCCAAGAGAGCGCGAAGCCGGCAAGCAAAGGGGAATAGTGAAAAATGCAAAACATACACACAAGCGTACATACACACACTCACACAAGCATATGGGCTTGTGTTTGTACATACATACACCGCTACACACTATGGCCGCCATTTTGGGTACAGAACTGGAAGAGCAGGGAAACGAGCGAAAAAAAAATAACAACGAATGGCTAAACAAAAGAGTAATGCAAAAAAAAAAATACAAATACTCTGACAAATACAAACTTGGTTTTTTTTTTTTGCAAGTGAAAGGTAAGGCGAGCCAGCTGTGTGTTTGTGTGTGAGTGCGAGAGTGTAGAGGCAACGTGGGGAGAGCGAGCTCCACACACTGTGAACATAACCTCACAAATAAGGGAAAATGTGCTCCCGTGGGGGGCTTCGAGACCTTCACAGCTCTGACTAATGACAATATTGCTCGTTACCAAATTGCGAGCAAACGAACAAAGGCAAACGCAAGCAACCAAAATTTTCCATTGCTAGCAAGCAAATCGACAGAATGAAAAAAAAAAATTAAACGCACGGTTACGAAGGAAATTTCCAAAAAATTCTATTAATATTCTGCTTTTAGCTGCTGCTGCGCTGCTGAATGAGGTACAGTCGCACGCACACACACAGACACACGCACGCGAGCGAAACAAAGGGGTCAGCGCGGCGGGCAGAGTGGAGACACTCGGCCGACTCGACTCCCGCTCCCACCAACGCGACCAACGACGTTAGCTTCGCATTTACGTAACAGAGTAGGAGGAGGCAATAGAAACTGAAGTTGGGCACATGATCTGCTACATTTATCAGCTCCCTGCCTGCGGTGTCTGGCCAAATATGTTATTTCAATACCTGTCGTCATCCCGCTGGTTAGAGGCAGCGGATGTGTGTTCTGAGCCATTGGTGGAACCGGCAGCGCCCGCCGCATCACCATTTTCGGAGCTCACGTCGTTGGTGGTTACATCCTTGGTGAAGTCTTCGCCGTTCATTTCGCTGTCTACAATTTTATCGGCCATCTTGTCGGTGGTGTGTAGTTAATTTTTTGCCAATTAAACTTTTAGATTCAGCACAATTTTAGTTTATTTTCAACGAAAACCTTTTTTTCACACACTCGCCAAACTCGCGACCGGAAAATGAAAAACAGTGTGACTGCGGGCTTATCGTTACAATATACCGACTGGCCGTCAGAAACATACCATAAAATACCATGACTTAGCTGAAATACCCTTTACTTTAGAATTTAATATGTGGTCCTTTGGCTCTTTTTGAAGAGGCTAGCCGCCTCACGATATCAGAAAAAGTGTTGTTTTGTATATCCTTAATATACAAATAATGTAGGTCAGTCCCTGGACCTTAAAAACAGCAGAATTGTACCTTGAAGATAAAACTTGTCTAGATTTTAGGTGAATTGTAGTAGACTTTCTGATGTAATTGTACAATCTTTTATTTCCGAAAGGCATCTGAAACATCGTAACTTTTTAAAACATAGATACCTGCTTGGCAACTGTCAGTACTACCCTAGTAACGCATTCGAAAACTCGAAAAAATTACAATACAAATTTATTTTCTATAAATATCTGCCGACTCCAAATTAAAATATTTTAATTCTGTTTTATTAAATTCAAAAATTGTTTTTGCTTTGAGCAGATACTAAGCTTTGAAGATTCAGTTGATAGCTTTTATTGCCTTTTCGCAGTGAGTACACACCCCATTGGAAGCCGATATCATTTGCATATTACACAAACGCACACAAAACGCACCGAGAACGCGAGGCAAAAGTCGGCCCTCTTCTCCATGACCGCTAAACACCGAAAAGTAACGAGTCGGTGGTCCTTTTTTCATCGGTATATTAACGGTATATTATGAAAATGCTCTTTTAAAAGCGCCCATATTGGGAAATGGGAATTTTAACTCCAGTTTTTTTGGCAGTCATCTTGATAAAATTGATAGTGCCCGATTTCAATTTTGGCATTTTGTCGTCGATATTCTCTTTGTCCAGGCCTGTATTCTTGTCCATTTAATTACATTACATGTAAATTAAATTATGTCCATTAATAAACGCGACAACACTACGGTTCTGATTTACGATGCTATCGATAAAATATACCGTCTGACCCTCAAAAATATACCTAAATATACCTTGTCATTATCAAATATACCGGACACGACAAGCATTGATATTCCTAAAGAAATCAAACAAAACCAACGCATTGTAACTTAATTAACCAACAACTGTGATCGCCAACATCGGAAGTAGCAAACGTGAAGCACGAGCGGAATTGCCAAGTTAGTTATTATATATCGTAAAAATTTGCAACAAGCCAGAAAGAAGCAGACTAATCGACTGCTACCTACTGCTTCAAGCCAACCTATCTTCGTGTGTGTGCGTGTGTGCTCGTTAACAAAACTACAATTTGCAGTCGCACTGATTTAGTACACATATCTTTCAGCATTTCACAAAACTAGGCCGCGAGCAAACCCTCCCTTTTGCTCACACCCACCATACCTCCCGTGCTTCAGCTTCATACAAAATTCTGTGAACCAAGTGCTCTTCGCAACAGCAGCAGCGGCCGCCACCAAGTGCAAATTTCGTCGATTTCGGACAATCAAGCGAATCCAACCACTCAAAAGCAATACCTAGTGCATTAGAAACGTCCCCAAGTAGACGGGACACCAGCAGCAGGGGCCTTCAAACGTCGCAAAGGTAAGCAATGCCGGTCCCAGCGCCTGCGACGGCCTCATCTCGTGTGGTGTGGTCTGGTCGGTCTAGAAAAAAGTAGCATTTTTCATTGGGGTGGAACCCGCTCACCGCTCCCCGCTCCGCCCGACTGCAATTGGAAAAAGTAAAACCATTTCCAAAACTCATTTGCGGACTCTGTTCTGTTTTTCTGCCCTAGCGGCGTTTTTATCGCTTGTGTTTGGTCTACTCATAACCTTAAAATGTAAAAAAAATTTGTTTTTGTAAATTTGTTTAAGCACAGGTCTTCATTTATCGCCTTGTCTTCTTTGTTCTGCCTACACACGCGGTTCGCTGGCAAAGAAAATGAGTGAGAAAGAGAACAAGAGAGTGGCGCGCTCATAACAGTATGCGTGCGTGCGGTCTATGCGTGTGTGTGTGTGTGTGTATTTGGCGGCCTCTTTTGTGCATCATTTGGTTTGGTTTCGAGACGAGTTATCTTCAGTTTACGCTGTCATACGGGGGAAGTCTGGGAATCCCACAAATTTTCAGATTAGGTGAATTGATTTCACAGTCATTACCGCTCCTTAAAGGCAAGATTTAGGGCAAAATGTAGTGCATTTAACAGGAATCTTACCGAGTTCAATGAAATCGCGACGACACGCTCACGCATGGCCACCCTTTCACGTCTGTGTGTGTCCGTTTTCAGATAGTCATCCAAAGCGGCGGCACAACCTTGAAGAGCAAACATAACCTAAAATACTCTGCTTGGCTCACGCTCCCTGCCGCTACACTCTCGTTGGCACTGTATGTATGAGGTCATTTACTCGAAAAGTGCACACACACAGACAAACTCATAACGGGGAGTGGAGTCCTTTGTGTGCGCTTAGATCGTACTAGTCGGAAGCACGTGTCAAGCCAAATATCCTTCTGAAGCACACACACACACCACACCGTGGATTGCGGTGACAGCTGCACTCTGTCTTGCTTGCACGAAGTTTCCCATTTTCTACTGCGGTTGTATGTGTGTGTGTGTTGTGCCATAAAAGTGGGTCACACTGCACCGCGCTGCGTCGGTTTTATGTGCGCTGCGCCAAAATCAGTTTCTCATAGGTGACCCTTCTAGCCGTTTCGCTTTAACAGTCCTCACTGTACTGATTCATTTACATTTTGTATGTGTGTGTGCACTGCTTTTAGTGTAAACTGATATGAACACGCCCACCACATTTACCGTTAAGGCAGCTGTTGCGGCGACCTGTCCAACCCGACCTGCTCCTGCTCCCCAAAACAGTGTAGCCTCGCCTCTGCTCTCAGGTTTTTTTAATTGAGCGCCAGTCTGGGAAATCCACACCGACTCAGTTATTTGCCAAGTATTTTGATATCTTTTTTTATGAAATTTTTATATTTTGACATCGTTGCAGAGAAAATCATTAAGAACTGAATCCGCACCGTGCTGAGACTCCGTAGTGCACTACGAGCAGCAGCAAAAACCGAAGCCACTGTCGATAGCTTGAGAGGACCCTAGCAATGGTCATGGATGCGACCCAATCGCAGCAGCCTTCACCGCAGTCGGTGGGACGCGAGTTCGTGCGTCAGTACTACACGCTGCTGAACAAGGCGCCCAACCACTTGCACCGCTTCTACAACAACAACTCGTCGTACATCCATGGCGAGTCGAAGCTGGTGGTTGGCCAACGCGACATCCACAATCGCATTCAGCAGCTGAACTTCAATGACTGCCACGCCAAGATCAGCCAGGTGGACGCTCAGGCAACGCTGGGCAACGGCGTCGTGGTCCAGGTGACTGGAGAGCTCTCCAACGACGGCCAGCCAATGCGCCGCTTCACCCAAACCTTCGTGCTGGCCGCTCAGTCGCCCAAGAAGTACTACGTGCATAACGACATCTTCCGCTACCAGGATCTGTACATCGAGGACGAGCAGGACGGCGAGTCGCGTTCGGAGAACGACGAAGAACATGATGTGCAGGTGCAGGTGGGCACCGTTGTGGATCAGGTCGTCCAGGTCGTGGGAGACGTGGCCCAGCCGGCACCGCAACAGATTCCTGCCCAGGCTCAGGTGGTGGTGGCCCAGCAGCAGCAGGTCGCTTCCGGAGCTGCCGGAGGTGCTGCACCGCAGCAAATCTTCTACCCTCTACCGGCTGGTGCCGCCACTGGACGCCCTCATACTGTGTTGCCACCTGCCCCCCAGGCGGCCGCCGTGCCCCTGCCGGCGCAGTTTGTAGCTCAGCAGCAGCCTATCCAGAACGGAGTTGTGTCGCACGAGGAGCTGCAGCAACAACAGGTGCCACCCCAGGCCTTAGTGGCGCCCAGTGCCTCGCCGCTGGTGCAGCAGCAGCCGAATATTGCTGCAGTCTTGCCTACGACAGTGGGCATCTTGCCAGTGCAGTCCACGAGCTTCCAGCAGTCTCCTCTGGTGGCTCCTCAGCTCATTCAGCAGCAGCAGGCGGCTCAGCTGCCGCCACAGCAGCAGCCCATTCAGCAGCAGCCTCTGCAGCCGCTGGTGGAGCCCGAAGAACCCGTGAACACGCCAATTGTCAGCCAGAGCATTAACGAGATTCCACCTCGGCAGCAGCAGAAGCCTCCCACTCCCGTGGAGGACTTCAAGACGATTCACGATCAGCAACAGCAGGAGAAGTACGAGGCGGCCAAGCAGCAGCAGAACGAGCCCAAGACGTACGCCAATCTATTCAAGTCCACGTCCTCTTCGCCCAGCGGCTTCGTCAACGCTGTGCTGCAGCAACAGCAGCAGCTTCAGCAGCAGCAGCAGTCGATCAGCAACACGTACACGTCGTCCTCATCGGCAGGTGTCGGTAGTGGAAACGGCCAAGTGAGCTACTCGACCACAGCTTCCTCGTACAACAACACCAATGGTAACTCGCGTCTGGACAACGGCGGACCACTGCCACAGCGTAATAACTCGATCAGGAACAACAACAACAACAAGGGTGGTGGTGAGTTGGCTCCCCTTTTATCTAGAGTGCGTATTTTCAATTACCTTTCCCGTTTCATCCCGTTTGCACAGACTTTGAACAGCGTCGTCCGAGCAATGCTCAGCAGTTCGGTGACAATCAGCAGCTGTTTTTGGGCAACATACCGCACCACGCCAGCGAGGAGGAGTTGCGCGAGCTCTTCTCGCGCTTCGGAAATGTGTTGGAGTTGCGCGTTCTGTCCAAGGCTGGCAACAAGGTGCCACCGGGCATGCGCAGCCCCCTGAACTACGGCTTTCTCACCTATGACGATCCCGAGGCTGTCCAAAAGTGCCTGTCCAACTGCGTGAGTAACTTGAAATAGACCAAATGTGATGGATGCTTTTAATTTTTCAATATTGAATCCCTATGCAGCCCTTGTACTTCCCTGAAAATTCGCCTGATGGCCAAAAGCTCAACGTGGAGGAGAAGAAACCTCGCATTCGTAACGATATGGGCGGACCACGTCAACCCATCGGCGGCAATGGCCTCAACAGCAACATGGGAGGACGTCTGGGTGGAAATAACGGACCACAATCGCGACCAATGGGCAATAACAACAATGGCACCGGTGGTATGATGCGCAACAATTCCGGCGGCGGTGGCAACAACTTGCGCACCGGAGGAGGTAACGGAGCCCCGCGTCTGGGCGGTGGGGGCTTCGGGCCACGCAACGACAACCGCAGCGGCGGTGGTACCAATCAGTCCAACGGACCGCTGCGCGGTGCCGGCAATGGACAGACTGGCGGTGGCGGCGGCGGCACCGGCAACTACGGCCGTCGCTAAAGAAGATGTCGCAGCGCCAGTGGCCCCAGGCAGTGGCAGAAGTCCTGCCCATTGGCCCGATTGCTGAAACAACAGTAACACACCAACAACAATAACAACCCAACGTTTAGAACATCGATTTCTTCCTCAAAGCAATCATCGTCACATACATACATAAACCACACACATACACACTAATCACAAACCAAACACACGCAGGCATACACAACAAAGTCAATCAGACAGAGCCACACACAACACAGATGGCCTGTAGTCGGAGCAAGAAAGAAAAGTTAAAATCTAAGAAGGGCAACAACAGCTTGCTTGAGGCGTATGCGTATAGCTGCACAAATGAAATGACACAAGCCTCGGGGCCTTAGTCCTTAGCCTTAGTTCAATTGGGTCTGAGCCCGCTTATCAGCCAGTTCGTGCAAAAAAAAAAAAACAAACAAACAAAAAAAAATTGATGTGCAAATCTTTGTTGTGAATCGAAAAAAGCAGAAAGGCCCCCGGCTTTGCAGGCCAACCATCTTTTCACCGCACTCTCAAACGTGTATTATGTTTAAGTCTCAGTCATGCAGCCCACCCCACAATCATACTCAATCAATCATATACACAAACACACACACACACGAAAACACACACCCATACACATAAATACACTCATATTAGCATAAATGTAATCCTAAATTTGAGCTCTCGTTCGGCTATCACCTTCGAAATGTAAACCCAAACAATCCAAGTTTGCATGCAAATTGGCAAATCCGATAGGATGTGGGGAGAAATGCAAATTTTTTTCATTTGTTTTTCATTAAATACCACATTTACTTAAGCTAAATGAAGAGGAAATAAAGAAAAAAAACTTAAAGCAACTTAGCTAAAGATAAAAACAAATTAAAAAAACAAACAAAAAAATGAAAAACATTTGTAAAATGCAATAAAAAAGAGCAAAAGAAAGACTTGAAAAAATTAATTTAAAAAAGAAAAAAAAAGCAAAAAAAAAAAAATTTAATGGTAACACGAGAAAAATGTAAAGAAGCAATAAGATCGGCAGTAAGAACAGGAAGCAGGAAATCAATTTAGTGCAGAGACACGAGACGAGACGCTGCGCCCAGAGTCCGCCGCATTCAAGAGCCTGCAACCTTTTGCTACTTAAATTTAGTTTGCCACACTTTAAAGCGTTTAACTAGCTAGTCTGTAGAGGAGATTGAATGGAAAAATTGTGGAGCGTGTGAGGGGCCGATGCGGTGCCGGCGCCGCAGCATGGGCGTGGCAGTGGCAGTGACAGTGTTCGCCATCAACGATTGACGATGGACTGCATCGGTTTTCGTTTAACTGTTTGCTATGTATTTCTGTTGTTCCGCAACGAGTTCAAGATCGTTAACCAAACTAAGTCAAGCAGCAACTTAACGATTTGGTGTTTCCAACGCAGTTGTGAACTAAAATTTAGTACATATTTTTTAAATAAAAATCAAGAAAGCCCAAAAAAAGGAGAAACGCATACAAAAACCTATTGATAAGAGGAGACGACACACAGACAGACAGACGAACACACACACCACACAAAACAACAAGCTACTAACATTTTTCTCAAGGCAAAACAAGCAAATATGTAACAAACAAAAAATTATATATACAAAAAACATATATGTAACAAATCATATAATTTAATGTTAACTTTTAGACTTACAAGAAATCTAAATATACATAAATATATATATATTTATATTTATATAACTGCACCCACAAGCGATGGAGTTCTAGTGGAGGAGTGGAGAAACTAAAGCCTTTCCGAATTGTATGAGAACCTTTCGAGTTTTGCCGCTGGCGTCTGAATATTTCATTAGGTTATTCTTGATTTGTTAAAGTTAAAACTCTCGACTTGTTGAGAACATATCATTTTTTTTTGTTTTGTCTGTTGTGCGGCGCCTGCCTCAGACAATCGCTCTGGAGCTCTAAATACTATTTTTCACCATTATTTCTAGTTACTAGTAACCCCCACACAAGCCACCACACATACATACTCGTCAGACAGAGCCAGCCATTCAGTCAGCACTTGTAGCACTGTGTTGTGAGGGTCTAAAGCAATTTTAGTACATTTTCTGTCAGACGAAAATGTTAGTGTTCAAATGTTAGCTCCACAACCAGTGCTACTAAGCAGTGCTTCCCACATATAAACAAAAAAAACCAACCTTCATGAACAAAGACCACACACAGACACCGAACAGAAGTACTAACTAACAAATGAAATGAATGAATATATATGTATGTATGTATCTTAAGAGTTATACGAATGAAAGAACACGACGAAGGTAACCATGCTCATTTATATTTAATCGGAGATAACACATAGACAGATGTAGAGGAACACACTTAATTATAATTTAACTTATATGTACACACATTACAAATACAAATAATTATAATAATAATAAAAGAAGAAAGATTCACGTGTTTACCAGAAAACCTATGATTTTTTGTATTATTATTATTTTTTTTTTCTAGTCTTTTATCTTCCGCTTTTCTATTCTATTCTTCTTCTTCACATTTTTCACCACCTAAATTTTTTTTTAAATTTAAATTTGAATCAAAAGTTCTGGTGAATGCGACAAACACCAAGAAATCAAATTAAATCAAATTATTGAATCCAAAAACGTAGAGAAATGATTATTTTTAATTACGATTAGCAACAAGATGTTTGTTGTGAGTGAATTTCCCTCGCATTCGATTCGAGTTGAACAAATTGAGCATTTAGCATTTAATGAAATTGATGCGCACAAGCCAAGCAATTGCAAACAATTTGCATAATTTTAATCAATTAAACAAAAAAAAAAAATCAAAGAACGGGTAATTCTAATCCAGAGTCACAAACAATTCAGTGGTGCGTTTTATAGCGATTCAGATATAAAACAATTACGCAAATCAATTCACTCACGCAATACTTTAAGTGAAAATGAAAAGAAAACAAAAAACAATCCAACAAAAATAGTTTAAATAAAGAAAGAGTTTACGGTTTTAAGTCTCAAAATGTCTGTGTACAGAGTTGTCTTAATCGAGGGCAGAAGTAACTTAATTGATTGATTTTAAATATCTACATGTGTAGGTATCTTTTTATTCTCCTCCAATAGGTCCAGGTATCAGGTCCCAGGTACTGGGTGAATTAAAAATAAAAGAAACAGTAAAGGAACACTGTTGACGCTACACTTAATATTGAATAGATATTAATTTCAATACTTTGTTGTCCCTGGAGATCCCATGTAATATCAACAGCGCCAGGCAAGGGGTTTCAAATCAATTTCCCGGCAAGGGAAATTGTACATGGTAGAATTCATCAATCTAAGGTACATAAACTAGATTTGTAATTGATTGATATTTTTAATTTCTTTATTATATTCTGAATTTCTTGTATAAATGGTTTTATTAAATATTAATCTACATGGCCTCTATCTCAATCGCCGTGCGAGAGAATTTATCGCTCTTAGGTACGTGTGTAGCTTTTTCATTTCTCGTTCTCATAGAGAATGTCGTGTTATTCGGTGTATTCAACAAATATTTAGCAAATAAGTTTGGTCCCAAGCTGAACCTATCAATGAATGTGTCGTCGCTCCCATGAAGTAAATGTGTGCCACGCCCGCCGACATCCTATACATGCCTGTAATTTTTAGGTACAGGCTTAGAAAAAATGAATAATTAAATTAAATGAACTTACCCTGCCATATGCGGGTAGAGGGAGTCACAATTTTTAGCGGGTCAAGCGATTGGAATGGTCAAGCGACTGTGATGGCTTGACCACTTTGTTGTTTTCGGTGGACCACTTCTTGTCCGCAGCAACAGCTGCATCTCCTCCAGCGCCAATATCAACCACGTTATCCCTAGCCACTGCGGCACCAGCAGCAGCAGCAGCAGCTGCAGCTGCAGCCTGCACCGACTTGTAATCGTTGATGGGACGCTGATTGGTCGAAGTCTGGTGAGGCTTTGGCCCGGTCTGTGCCACACATTCGATGAGATTGCTGCTGCCGCCCGAATTTTGGGGCGTATTATAGGCAGAGTGGGTGCCTCCGAAAGCCCCATGGCCGGAGGACTGTATTGGGGCATAGTAGATGTGCGGCACTGATGGTACCACGGGGGTGACATACGAGGCCCAGCCATTGATATAGGCCGAAGGCGGCAGGCTGGACTGTGCCACGTACGGATTGTAGTGTGCATTGTAGCAGTGTCTGTCCATCACGGCTGGCTGTGGTGGCCCGTAGCCGGCACGGGCAGCCCCGCCAACGGGAAAACGAAGACGTTTAACAGGATCGGGTCTTTGAGCTGACTTCTTCACCTCGACCGTAATTGAGTTGATGACGTGCTTTGTCTGAACTGTGATCGGAGGTTAAAGGGTGACGATAAAATGTAACTAAGATGTGGAACCTAAGCAACATACCCAAAGATCTTTCAGCACTGTCGATATCCTCGTACTCCAGGAAGCCGAAGCCCCGCTTGCGCCCGGTCTCCTTGTCCATCAGCAGCTTGATGCTCATGATTGGGCCAAACTTTGAGAAATAATCGCGGATAATGGCCTCGGTGTGGCAGTCCTTCAGTCCACCTAGAAATATTTTGTTCGTCTGGTCATTGCCCATTCCGGGTGGTTTGTTGAATTCCAGCCGCGGCAGGGCGGGCTTGGTTTCCACAGTTCTGAAAAAAATGGAGCTAGCTGAGTGACCGGAACGGAACTGAGGCTATTTCTTTTTTTTTAATTTTTCACTTACTTGTAATCAATAATGTGTGGCCGGGTGCTCTGCACATTCTCTACGGAGCCCGGATCGACGAAAGTGACAAAGCCAAAGCCGCGCGAGTGGTTGGACACGGGATCACGCATGACCACAGCATCGGCCACTGCGCCGAACTGTGAGAAGAAATTCGCGCAATGTTTCCGGACTAGTCTGCGTGGGTAACCCACCAATAAATATCTTGCGCAAGTGCTCATCGTTCTGGACTGCCATTTTTGCAGTGCTTTCCAAATTGGTTGAGGTGGCCTTGTCACTGCTTTCGGCAACTGCTACGCGCTGCTCAAGAAAAGAAAATTATATTTCGTTGCCCTCTGTTTGTTGAAAGCCCACATATACCTCTTGCTTAGTGGGCCAAGGACCATCGGAGCTGCGTTTGTTATTCATTTTTGTTATTTAACCGAATGGAATGGGAGCAAATGCAGATAAACTAGTCTGAAGTGTAGCGAGAAAGTGAATGACAGGAAAGAAAAGATTTAAATGTCAGACGAAAAGCTGCAAGTCAGTTGGCTTGAACAAATACAACCCTGGGCCGGCCATTTTTGTGCTATCGTCTTCTACCTTTCGATGAAGGGTTCGATTAATCGCTTACAAATATTTCAATATTTCTACAGAAAGGATACCGCTACCGTCTTCTTTTTTCCATGTTTACTTGCGCAACCTTAGTAATAATTTGAAATTCTTTCAACTAATTGGAGTAGCAAGTAACTTGAGATGACGTATTAGTATTTTGCTTCTCCGAAATTGGCACACCTTGGCTATAAAACGTACGTGTCCCCACCATATACAAAATTGTGTTGTTCGGACTTTTCCCAGTACCATCCTCGTGTTTGCTTGAACTAAGTATACCCCCTTTGTGATCCCACAAATATATAGTTAAAATGCATTGTTTTATTTTGGGGAAATGGTTTGTTTATTCAGATGTAAGCGTATACTTATGTACGGGTAGGGTATGTAGAATGGGTTAGTAATTACCTGGACTTACCTTCAGGAGAAATATCACTACCAACCAGATTCCAAAGTGAATCCAAGCTTCGCCCTGGTGGCCTCTACAATCTTTTGGTTTTTTTCGGAACCGAAGTGCAACAACAGAAGCGACGTATTTCGAATTCAGCACAGGAGCAGGGGCATCCTTCCAGCCCAGCCAGTCTTGCAAAGAAATACGTAGTGCATTAGTACGTAGTCTGCATTGTTTGTATAGGAGTTTAGTTTGACCGGTTGTCTGCCACGCTATCTAGGTTACAGGTTACCCTTGCTACCCTGGTTCAGTTCATTTCACTGATCGCCTTATCGCCTGCGCCTGTTCCGCTGAGCTGTGGCTCTCGCCATCAGTCAGGGGAGGGTTGGGGGGGTGGGATTCTCTTCCTGCAATCGTTTCGGGTGGGTAACATTCAGTAGAATTTTATTTTCTTATCGCCTTCGTTGCTCACGTAACGAACTAATTACAGATTATGTTTTGTTTTGTTTTGGATTTGTATGGATTTCTTGTGTATCGTAGCATCTACTTCTTAGGGTCTAACAAAGTTGGTATGTTTTCGTTTATGCGAGCATGTGGTTTGCTTGCTTTAGTAGGTCTAGTGGGTGTTACGGCAAAATATACACAATTCTAACTCATTAATTACGAGCAGAGTACTCATTAACAAGACTTGCTTAACTTGCTCCGGGAATTGGGATGGATAGATAGTATTATCTTTCTTGTATACGATATAAATAATATAAAATTTCTTAAATGTACAAAATGGTATTATAAAATATTGTTCTATTTGATTTCTTGCAATGCGCTCATCATCCGCTACAAAATACAAAATGAAACGTAAAGCATACATCTATCTCTGTATGCTACATATATCTGAGGGGACCACGTTTGCTTTGACAGCAAACCCTGCCGCATTGGCGGTGGATTGGGTATGGCCGCCTCCCGACAAGCTACACAGTAAAAGCAAGGTAACGGTATGTACTCTACCTGGCGCAGCCCATTCCCCAACGAGATTGTTCGCTGCATTGTTCATTGTTCTCGTTACTGTGGTGGTAGTCAATTGATCATTAAATAAAATGTAGTTTAGTATATTTTTCGTTTTTTGTTTTTGTTTGGTTTTTCTTTTGTTTTTGTTTTCGTTATCGTTTTCTTGTTAATATAGTTAAAACTAAGCGTTCAAGGTTCTTAAAATCCTAAACATGAATTGATAATATTGTTGTTTATAAAGAGAGACAGCAGCAGTCAAGCTGTCGACAAGTGGAGTGAGATTTTCTTGCTTTTGGCTTGTTGTGGCTGGTTGTGGGTGCTTATTAACACACACCACGCACACACACACCCACACACACACACACATGGTACGCGGTTTGGTTTTTAGCGGATTCAGGGGTTTAAGGGCTGAAAACTGCATATCTGATCGAGCTGGCTTGTTTGCTGTTTTCTTGTTCTTGTATTTGTCTGCCTTCTCTGACACACTCTCGCCCACACACTTGTCACTGTCACTGATTGCCTGCCTCTGCCTGTGCCTGTCTGAGTCTGTGTCTGCCTGCGCCTAGACTGCCTGTTTGTCTAGCTTGAAGCTTGAACTGACTCTCTACGTGATTACCTATTTGCGAGAAAGGAGAAAATTTGGCATTAGCGGTTTCAAGAGTTCAGCGATTCACATGAATGGTTTTTTTTTTGCTAGCTGCAACGACGACATATGTACGTTTCCGAGCGCTCTACACACATACGGAGCTGCGGGCCTAAGCCCAGCTTGGCTCAAATCAACTCGATTACATATTTACCTTGTCTAGTAACGTCTATTGCCGCCGCCCATGTTTCCACCCTGGCCGCCGCCGCCTCCTCCAGTGTTGTAGTTGTTGCCCCCGAAGCCCTGGCCGCCGCCGCCTCCTTGGTTTCCACCTGCAAGTTCAGAAGATGCTTTTGTTAAATGATTTCCCGTCTAGTGCTGCACGAATGTGAACTCACCTTTGTTGAAACCACCACCGCCTCCGCTGCCGCCTTGGCTGTATGGAGCAGGCCGGCTGTTGCCAAAGTTGTTGCTCCGTTGCGGGCCGCCGCCATAGCTCTGCTGGTAGTCGTTGCCAAAGCCGCCGCCTCCTCCGCCGTTGCCACCCCAGTTTCCGTTGCTGCTTCCGCCGCCGTAGCCACCACCACCGCCGCCGTTGTTCCAGCCGCCGCCGCTGCTGCCCTGATTGTTCCAGGGACCGCTGCCGCCGCTCTGCTGATTCCAGCCGCCGGAACTACCGCCCTGGCTGCCACCAAAGTTGCCATTGTTGCCGAAGCTACCGCCACCGGCGCCCCAATTGCCGCCGCCGTTCTGGCGATTGTTGCTCCAGCCGCCACCTTGGCTGCCACGATCTCCGCCACGACCTCCTGTGCGTCCACCAGGGCCGCCACGGCCACCACCACCACCGCCGCCACCACTGCCTCCTCCACCTCCAGCACCACCACCACCGCCGCCGCCTCCGCCACCACCCTGACGATCCATATCTTGCTTGGCTATGGCCTTCTTCACGTCGAGGCTCTTGTTCTTGATGGTGTGGGTCTTCTGGAGAATGATCTTGTCAACGGGATCATAGTCGTCGAACTCGATGAAGGCGAATCCGCGCTTCTTGCCGGTGTCCTTGTCCGACACGATGTTCACGCCGACGATCTGGCCAAAGTCCTTGAAGTACTCTCGCAGGCACTCTTCGTCATGGTCGTCACGTAGGCCACCCACAAACAGCTTCTTGACCGTGGCCCCAGCGTTGGGGGCATCGATCTCCTGGCGCGGCACAGCACGCTTCGGCTCGACGGTGCGGCCGTCGATCTTGTGGGGCCGAGCGTTCTGGGCATTGTCGATCATGTAGGACTGCGAGTAGGTGATGAACCCAAAGCCGCGCGACCGTTTTGTCTTCGGATCCTTCATGACGACCACATCTACGATATTGCCCCATTTCTCAAAATGCGCCTTCAGGCCGTCGTCCGTGGTGCGGTAGTCCAGGCCGCCGATGAACAGCTTGCGCAGCTGCTCCGGCTCGGTAATCTGCTGCGGGCGTAGAGAACGAGGTAAATAAATAAACACACAAACATAAGTAAACGTCAGGTACAGTCGCAAGTGAAATCAATAAAACAAAGAAAAATGCCGCCCGCCATTTTCTTTTTATTTGCAACGCCGCAACGTCTATCGTGTGTACATATGTATGTATACATGTGCGTGTATGCGTACGTTTTATTTTCTGCCGCCAACCGGTTTCGATGTTCTTTTGCAAATTCATTTCGGTTTTCGAAGGCTTTGAACTTACGGCGTGTCACTGGCCGGCCCGCAAGTGCCCGAGGATCGGAGCCACACACACACACACACGTATGACATATTCATTTATTCATCTGGGAAAACCGCGTGCAAAATTTGCACTGCAATTGTCGGCGTTGACATTTTTACAATGCGAAAAACTTTGCACCGCTTCGCTTACCTCATCGTTGTCGTCGTAGTTTCCGTTGGAATCATTCAAGTCAGCCATTGTACTTGTATTTGCACAATTACACCAGTTTGAAGTAAAAACCTTTTCAATATAATCACTTTTTTCACGAGTCACAGACGCCCTAGTAGTGTTCGATCAGTGTGACCGCGGATCTTTCCACGAAATATACCGAAGACACTCATATACTCATTTTCAGAATATACCGTAAATATACAAAAGCTATTATTGAATCAGGGATGATATTCATATGGAAACGATAAGAAACCATCCGTTTTTTGTTCGACCGATTTTATCAGACGAGTACTCAGATCCGAAAACAATAATGCCGATAGATACTAGATAAGCAACCATTGGAATTTTCCCAACTCGAGCGGAATATAGAATTATTCTATCTTTCGTCGGCAAAAAAAAAATATACCACATGAAAAGGAGACAGGCGAAACAAGAAAATACCGGCTAGAAAAGTGCAATAAATCTTAAAAAGGCATTCGAATGAAAACTGGTTATATGGATACTATTATTTAGTAATTTTATACCTGGTACTCGTTTTATTAATTTATAAGGCGATAAAATACATGTTTTTTGTATTTCTGTCACGCAGGATGTGACTTATCCAATAGTGCAGTCTGCATTGTCGTTCTCCAGCTCCACAGCACCCACAAATAAGACATTGCTTAAGTAAAAAATTTTAAATTTTAGCATATTGCTTTTTGTGTCCACTTTGGACACACTGGACACCGAGCGAAATATACTCAATTTCGACGTCAAAATACCCCGAAAAGTATATAATATACCGAAACGGTCACTCTGTTTTTTCCAATATATCGTGACGTACGTGACAAGGCGGCGCTGACAAAGTATCACTTCCGTTTTCCGTTTGCATTTTTTCGTAGCTGTCGCAAAAGTGTGAATTAAGTGTTAAAAAAAGGTTGTAGATTGTAAATTTAGTGAAGAAAATCTTTAGTAAACGGTATGTTAATCAAATAAGTAAATGCACATGCAAACACACACAAAACACGAATCTATACAGCTATTGATTATTTTGCCGTGTTCTGTACCCGGTACATTGCTCACATACGTGTGGTACATACATACGTGTGCGTTTATGCCTGGCGGTACCGCCATCTTGGCAAAACACTTGGGCACACACACTCAAACACAAGCCGTGAATTGCAGTTGTATTGCCTTGGTGACGGCGGGACAGTCGAGCAAAATAGAACCTGAAAATTTTCTCTTTCGTTTTGCAGCATTTGCTAAAGACACATAATCATAAGCAATATGGTTGGATCACGAGTGTACGTGGGCGGTCTTCCGTACGGAGTGCGGGAGCGCGATTTGGAACGCTTCTTTAAAGGCTATGGCCGCACTCGCGACATACTAATTAAGAACGGCTACGGCTTTGTGGTGAGTGGCCATTGGGGCAGGCGATTGATTGAAAATCAATACCAAACCGTAATTTAATTTGCAGGAATTTGAAGATTATCGTGACGCCGATGATGCCGTCTACGAGCTAAATGGCAAAGAGCTGCTGGGGGAGCGGTAAGTTGCACGAAAAGCGCGCGCAAACTCTATCTATATTCAATAATCTATTTTTGCAGCGTGGTTGTTGAACCCGCCCGAGGCACAGCCCGTGGCAGCAATCGCGATCGCTACGACGATCGTTACGGTGGACGCCGCGGCGGAGGCGGACGTTACAATGACAAGTAAGTACAGACTGGGCTAGTAGTCGCACGTACAGGCGAAGATTTTGTTCTACAACATCCGAGTTAATGTAGAACCAGCAGCCCCCATATATATTTTCTTGTATTTCGCCTGTATTCCCTTCCACACCGATGCGATTCGTTTGTTTGAGTTGAACTTATGTCACACATGTCTCCTGCCGCCAATGATTGGAGTGGCGTGGAGAGGGATCATCTGTGTGGCAGTAAAACCAGGCCAGAATCATCAGTGTGGAAGGGACTGAAAGACACTGACTTGCTGTTTTTATACTCTTGTTTTGCGAAGCGCTCCTTAGCTCCTTACTGCTATGAGAATTATAATTTGTACTCATATTTGCACGCTACCTTATGTAATTCTAATTTTGTTGTGTTCCGCGCTCCCTGCTATCATGCGTTCTCTATGTAAATATTAAAATATACATCCTATCTTGTATCTGCATCTGTAATGGAGCAGCGGCAGCAGCGCAGTGTCATACTAATTTCAAAATCCATTCAATTATTCACCAGAAACAAAAATTCCAGATCATCATCCCGCTATGGGCCGCCATTGCGCACCGAGTACCGCCTGATTGTTGAGAATTTGTCGAGCCGCGTCAGCTGGCAGGTAAGTGCATTGAGCACGCTCGTTGCTGAGCGTTTTAGTTTTATCTACTGTAGCTTAGAAATGACGAAGAGAAGGAGTGTAGCACTAGCCATAACAGCTAACACTTGGAACGGATCCGAGAAAACCACTAACACCCAGTCCCAGTCCAACTTATATCCAACTCCCGTTTCGACTACTCTTATTATTTTGAACCCAACGTTTACCCAACCCCCCATTTCAACAACTATGGTGTTCCTGTTTTTTCTGTTTGCTACCGATACCCACTCAAAACCCACCCGAACAGATACTACCTTTAACATTTAGTTAGCACTAAGCTGTACAGTTGACCTAGGCTTAAGTGAAATGTAAACCACTATACTACATGCTATGCTTAACTCTGGTACTGATCGGCGTAATCTACCCACAATTATTTCTCTCACACACCAACTACCGTACCGAACACCAAAAGAGTTTTTTGATGTGATGAGTACCAGCCGAGTGCTGCTTGAAAGAGTGACCACACAGAGGGACAGAGGCGCACATGTGTGTGAGTTTGCGTGTGTGAGTGCCGGTCCAAAGGTTCCACAATCTGGCTAAAAATGAATCTAAACACGAATACGAAACCAGATGTAAAGACAAATAATATAGAGTTGTCGTTGTCATCCCCATAAGACGTGGGCAGATCCCAGACACACTAGTATCGTGACTTCCAGTATGGTCACACAATATCATGGAAGACAGACAAAGAGAGAGAGAGAGAAAGACAAAGCACAGCAGTCGAGGGCCACTAGAACATCGCATCCCAATAGACTGTGCTTCATTATCATCGTCGCTCCGCTTGGGTCTGAACACGATGAGCCATCGCCCGCCGCTTTATCCGTCCATCCCAATAACGAGTCGAACCAAAACAGACCAGACCAGACCAGAAGACGATGGCCGACGCTGGCCTGATGGTCCATTGCTGAGATTTGAGTGGTGTGTGCTGCCCCATGCTGCCATGCCAAAAGAGTAGCCTACGCACTGCTGCCAGTGCGTCTGTGCCTACCCTGCTGCGTGTACCTGGCCCACGTGCGTAGGCTTGCCTCTTGCGTTAGGTATTTAATTGTTAAACATTTACAATTAATTTACAAAACATTATATATAAAGAATTGTCAAATTCCTTATAGCAATTGTGAGTGTGAGGGTGCGAGGCGAATCAATCGAATCTGGTCGAATATGGTTAGAAGAAAAGACAAGAGAAGCGAAGCGAAGCAAAGCGTTTTGTTAATCAGATGATGATGATGATGATCTGATCTTGGCGACGACGATGAGATGAGGATGAGGATGTGCATGACGAAGATCGATGAAGATGGTGACAATGACGCGATGACGTTGATGCTGGTCGACTCGTAGAACAGAGAATGCGCATTCAGTTGCCACATCGGCTAGCGCATCCGAGGTTAATCTCCTTCCTGGTTCTGGCTTCTGGCTTGTGCTCTGGCTGAGACTTCTGACTAGACAACCAACCGCCCGCTTGGAGCAGCAAGCACCTGCCGTATGTCGTCGTCACACGCGTCAGCAGCGCCCACGCCTCAGAGGCAGGCGGACGTCAAAAACGTAATTCTTATTTTTGCAGTTCGTTCTGTGAAGCGCCGTGAGAGATGCACGCTGGCCACGCCTCCGCTGCCCGGTTGACTGCCTCTATGACTGGTTGTGCTGCCCAAGTGCACGGCCACTGCTCGCCACTCGCTCTTGACCACAAATCCCGCCTCCGGCATCCGGCGGCATCAGGCATCCGGCGACTGTGTGTCTGTGACCATTGATGTCTGATCTGACTGTATCCCGGCGGCGACGCTTCCCTCCAACGTTGACTGCTGGTCCAAATCTGAAGAGCTAATACTTTTTGCAATATAAAATATACAATTTGTTCACAAAAACTATACGAGATCTGGCTAAGGCAATGGCGGCTATGCATCCCCCCCAATGTTGTCTGCCCGCCCACCCGTGCGTACGTGCGTTTTCTGGTTTCTGGCTACTGGCTGCTGGCTGCCTGCCTGGTTAAGTAATCGATGTTCGATCGGAACGCTCTTGACTGCTCGCTAAACGCCCTTTCGATGAGGTGGTCCACAGTTCCCCCATTGGTCCACAGTTACTAGACAGACAATCAAAACTCTCGGTGTTAAGCGAAAACCATAATAACGATGTGTGTGTCCGTCCTCTCTCTGAAAGCGCATTAAGTAAGAACTCAATTACAAATATATTTTGTTTATTTTCATTTACTTTCAAAATATCAATTACGAAACACTGTCTGTTATCTATGATTAATTATGCCTAAGTTCTGTGACGCGTGCAGCAAGGAGTATTGAATATTTCCCCCCCAACTGGCTGACTGCCTGACGGCTGGCGGCTGCTGCCGGGTGCTGTAATGTGGTGGTTGAGAGGCAACAGCGCGAGCTGAGCTGAGCTATGTTCGTCCTGCCTGCCCATCCACCCACATGATGAGGGTCAGTTTCCACAATAGGCAGGCGCGTCAAAAAGGAGAGAAGATACAGACTCGGGCACAGGCATTGAAAGAGGGATAAAGACTGAGGGTGGAAATGGTTAGGAGGCACTCATCCCACTCACTCAGCCAGAGCACGAGAGTCCGACTGGAAACTCCGAACTCCGACCTGGAAATATTCAATCTACTTCGTCTGCTGCATGCGTTCTCCTTTGATTTGCCACTATCAGATGCGGACTTTAAGACCTCTGGCACGACCATTAACTAACTATGTTCTTTCTCTTCCGAATTTGTGCGAATCTGCAGGATCTGAAGGACTACATGCGTCAGGCTGGCGAGGTTACCTATGCCGATGCGCACAAGCAGCGTCGTAATGAAGGGTAAGTTTTTAACTGGCCTAAACTCGCATGTCAACACGAAGCTCTAACACTTATCTTCCGTTTCGTATGGCAGCGTGGTTGAGTTTGCCTCGTTGTCGGACATGAAGACGGCTATTGAGAAGCTCGACGACACGGAGCTGAATGGCAGACGGGTACATCTGGTCGAGGATCGTCGCGGAGGACGCGGTGGTGGTGGCAGCGGGGGCGCCAGTGGCGGTGGTGGTGGAGGCGGACGTGGTCGATCTCGTTCATCCAGCTCCCGTTCACGCTCTCGCTCCCGCAGGCGTTCTCGCTCTCGTCGCTCTTCGCACTCGCGTTCCAAGTCTCGCAGCCGCTCCAAGTCTCGTGGTGGACGTTCCAAGTCCAAGTCGCCCGTTAAGTCGCGCTCTCGATCCCGTTCACGCTCAAAGTAAGTAGAAGGGTCATCGGTTTTTACAAAGTTGATACTTATTTGGTCCTCCCTTTGTATTGCAGCAAATCGCGTGATGTTTCCAAGTCCAAATCAAAGTCCCACTCGCGCACTCGCTCCCGCTCCCCCAAGCGTGAGCGCGACTCGCGTTCTCGCTCACGTTCCATTTCGAAGCGTGAGTCACGCTCCCGTTCACGTTCCAAGTCGAACCATCGCGACTCTCGTTCACGGTAAGTTTGGCGGATCACAGATCCGAGAGGCGGCACTATATTGTAAAATTCTTTCTTTCGTGCTTTCTTTGGTTTTGTTTGGATGCACGTGTTCGTTCGTCTAATGCATAGTCCTTCGACCTTGGCTGCACAAAAACCCATTAAATAGATACTAATGTACTACTCGCCCCTCTTCATTGCAGCGACCGTTCCGCCTCAGTTGACAACAAGTCGCGTTCGCGCTCCCGATCCCGTTCGGCCTCGCCTAAAAACGGAAATGCCTCACCGGACCGCAATAACGAGAGCATGGACGATTAGATTAGTTAGCTGTCCCATTAATATTAAAACACTTGATTTTAGATTTTTACTATAACTATTCTACAAACATCCACACAGACACCTTATTCTACCCTGCGTCACTGGCACACAGCCAACAAATAACGAAAAAATGAAATGCAAATGAACTTAACATTTTTTTTAATATTTAAAAATTATGTTTTTCGTCTTGCGCCACACTCGACACAATCCACAATCACTGCCCCATCGCTGGGCAATACAACAGAGAACAGACAGGAAACATTTAGTCGAGTGCTGCACTTCGTAGCACCATCGCAAGGCAAACAACATTCTTGCCGATGAGAACAATTGAGAACAACTGTAACATATGTAACAGCAAACGATCTAAAATTGTCTATACACATGATTCATTTCAATAAATACGGAAACATTTAAATATATATTTCGTTTGTGTTTTGGATTGGGCGAAATACTTTTTCGATTAAAACATGTCCCATCTAATCTAATTGGTGTCTGGAAAAGTACTTATGTTGGGTAAACTTTGATGAAAAAAGCTGGGCTAATACTGAAGCCACATCATAAATCAAACCAATCACAGGAATTCCATACCTAATACAATTTCCAGGGAAATGGTGCATCAAATAAGCTGGGAATGCTCACCAACATCCTTCGGAGACTGAAAAGCTGCATAAAAATATGTATACACCTGGATACATATAATATGTATATAAAGACAGGCTCATATTCGCCAACAATTACGATTTAGTTTTGAAAACGGAAACATTTTCGTATAATTAACTTCACAGAGAAAGTGGACTGACGAAAAAGCAGTATCTGAATAAAGTAAAACGCATTCAACTATTCATATATAAATTAGTTTAATTGTTTAGGTTTTTTTGTTTGTTTGCAATTCTGGAATATAAGTATATTACAAAGTCTTATTTTATCTGATTAGCTTGAATTAAAATGAAAGTTTTTCTTTGCTCTTATGCTGAATTTAAAGAATACCAGTGGCATTGATTGCCATAAATACTGGATGAAATTTGTTACATATAAATATTTAAAATTTTTAAAGAATAGATTTCGTTTAAAAAATTTGTAATGGTAAATCAAATTCATAACTAAGTTTTTAAACTCGCATAGTTTTTGCTTTAACAATGTATCATTATTTAAAGTAATATTAAGCATTTTAATATACATAAACACCATAATATATACATATACAAAGCACATAAGGATAAAATAGAGTTTTGAAGCGTTTGACGTCTCGAGTGAGCAATGGAAAAAAAAATTGCTTTTTTTAAAATGCATCGACTAACTACTATAGAACAGATCTCGTGAACTGTATTTGAAATACAAATGCTGTGAACAAATTAACAAATGCCTAAAGTATGTGTTATGAGATTTGGAAATTTATTTCGCCATTATCTACAACTAAAACTAAATGCACTTCTGCATAAATGCGACTGGGGAGGTTCTGGTCTGAGACTGTTCGGCCACATAGTGGATTTCGGTCTGCATCCCACGTAAATACATACATACATACATACATATGTATAGTAGTTCGTATGTACGAGTGGGTTTCTTTGGCACATCGTGGAGACACTTGAGCACTGGAGCTGCCTAAAATATGTTTTTTTGTGGGTGGCTGAAAGCTACATTAGTATTTGACACTTGGTTTAAGTGGACTAAGATCGATTTGGATTTGCGTCGTCTGAGATGCGGCTACTAGCTACAATATGCGTACACACTAATCGTAAACTAATATCAAGTTTGGAGTCAAACAGTACATAATATAGCAATCAATATAAGTTGGAATAAAATGGATTATTGAACATTATCTACCATTGATCCGTTATCAAGTATTTACAGATTTTTTTTAATTTGATACTTTCTATGCCTTTATACGAGTGGATTCGGTTTTCGAAGGCTTCCCCAAGGGCTCGCAGCAAGTGAAACCCGCAGTTGTTTCTGATGAAGGCAGCACTTGATTCTCAATACAATTTCAATGTATTGTATGGTATGGTATGGTATGGTATGGTATGTATGTTGTTCAGAGGGGCTGTAAGTGTTCAAATAGAAAGACGACCATTGTGGGCACCGCTTCAAACATACACACGTAATCATAGCATGGCTTTCATCTTCAATGTACTATCGCTCGGAAATGGCAGTGGTTTACTTTCAATTTTTTTAGTGCTCTAGTTCAGTAAGTATTTTAAATGTATGTATACATTTAGGTTTAGTCGCTAGCATGCCTACTGCAAGTTTTATAGATCTCTATGCACTTATTTACATTGTAAATGCACATAAATAGCATCGCATCGGTGCGCACATAAATTGCGCATTTCAATAATCCTCCCATAACTCCCATCTCGTCCTACATTCGGTTTCGAATCTAAATAAGTTTTAAGTACTATTAGAGCCTTTTTATCACTTTCAAGTTGTAAGTCGTTTTTGGCGAGGGCAGGTCCAAGGGGTGGGGCCGCCACTTCGTTGTTCCTGCTTTCTGCTCCCCCTGTTTATCCTCACTGTGCGAATGCTCCTGTTTTTGGCTGCCACTGGAATACCATCCAATACCTCACCTCGTCCTCCTCCTAGATGCGAAATGATAGTAGTGAGACGTTGCGCTTGAGCAATTGCTGTGGCCGCAACGGGGATCCGATGCTTGCCGTGTCCACCATATCGACGCCCATGTAGTTACTATCCATGATCCCGCGATCCGGCATTGAGTGCACACTTTGTGTATCGTAGTCGTAGTTCAAATCCTGCATGGGAACCACTTCGGGCAGCAGGTGCCTTATGTGTGTGGGCGATCGCTGTAGCCGGTACTGATTCCTGTTAGAAAAGCGACCGATTTTAATAAGCACGAACTGCATAATATGCCCTTAAAGAGAGAAAAACTTACTCAGTATCATTGTTCCTCCCTAAGTGGTTACTCCTGTGCAGGTTTGAAAATCGAAAAAAATAAGAAAAAGCACATGAATAATATATATATAATTGAATGGTTCTTAGTTTGAAAATTTCACACACACGTTCTAAAAATGTATATATTCTAAAGCCCATCTTTTTGTTGGAGTCGATATGTACGGTACTCCCGCAAGTCCCTTAAATATAAAATTCGAGTACTCTATATATTTTAGTTCATTTTCTTCTTGGGAAGATAGATGCATCTGTCTATTTGTTTTCTATTCAAACTTTCTCCAGAGTCTGCAGATGGGCTCACTAGTGGCTGTCTATTCACTGCCAATCAGACAGGTCGCTGCTCATCACATAATAAAGCAGGAAACGTCCTCTAGGCTTTTCCTGCATCCCTAATCCCTCCGACTGGGTCGTTCGTTAAGCTCTCCAAAGACGAGTGCAATATAAATTGGCCTATTTCTAATCCTTTTTTTTGACGATTTGTGATTAAATGTACTGAGGCGGATAACATACTTTTTATGTCGGTTTCTATTAAGACAAATACAATGGCACGAGCACATGGACGACGCACTTGATCCGTTCAGCGATTGGCCGTCGTTTCCCTCGTAGCCGCTCAGTATGGATCCGTTGGATGTTATCACGTCGCCCTCCAGTTTAACAGCCACTTGCAGTGCCTGTAATGGGTATCGGCATTAATTATTATATTATATTATGCAGCAGTGTGCAGAGATGTGGAGCAGAGGTTGAGTAAAGCGTTGGAAAACGTAGGGAGCGGAGCTCAGTTGTTATTCGGGGACTGGATTGGTGTGGCTGTGGCGAGAGTGTGTGTTTTGTGGGTTGTCGGTGCTGTGGCTGTAGCTGTTTGCTGTTGCTGTTGTTCAGTGTGGTACAGAAGCAGGTGGTGAAGGGGTGGTTGTAGTTAGAGTAAGTCAAATATATGGGAATCGAAAAACCGCAATCACCTCGTTGGTCCATAAACTGGACTTGGACATAAACTAAGCTCACGTTTTGCATTTTGATTTGTTCGTTAAGTCAAAAGCAACCGAAAATATGCCAAAAAAGAAAATATTAATTCGTTTTACATTGAGTTGCTCTCGTATTGGCCTGCATTGAATAAATTGTATAAATTAATTGGTTCCAAATACAGTACAAAATATGTATTGCAATTGCACAATAGTACGTAATTATTGAAAAAGAAACCGAAGGTGCATGATTATCAAGAGTAAGTCAAGGTGGAGTGTGGAGTGTGCAGCAAAGTGGCAAGCAGATACATATGTATATTCAAAGCAATGTAGAAATAATTTAACAAGTTACTGACGGAAAGGTTCTAGGTTCAAGGTTTGACATGAGAGATGGAGATAGAAATAATTCGAGTAGAATTGCAATAAGCGTAATAAAGTTGTACATAACCTATTATGGGATAAGCTTGTCAAGATTCTAAGTGAAACAGGTACAGCGAAGCTTTGGTGTTAGGATAAAACTGGAGAGTAAAAGCGATTTACTACCAAGGGAAGGTACAGCGAAACTGAATTATCTCGACTGCGTGAATGTACTCGTATTTTTTTTTATTTTATCATTATTAATAATAATCATAGAAATGACAAAAAACAGTCCTCAAGTCTACGGTAACAAATGAGTTGGTTGCATGAGTTGCTGGGAGTCCGCTGGCACGGCTCTGATCCTCTTACCTGCATGGCCTGCGCCTCGTCGCGTCGCTCATCTTCGGTGTTCATTGTAACAAACCTAAGCACTAGCAAGTTCAGCGAAGCGGCCACGATTGCCAGGCCAAATAGTATAAATATCAGTGCGAACATCACGTACTCCGGCTTTCTATTCAGTGCGTTGTCCCTTTGTAGGGCTACCATATCGCCAAAGCCTAAAAAAAACCAATAAGTTACTCAGTTGTGGCCCTCCCCTCTTAGAGGCAATGGCGGTAGATCTTACCTATTGTAGTTAAAGTAATAAAACAGTAATATACTGAATCAAAGTAGCTCCAGCCCTCAAATTTTGAAAAGGCTGCAGCACCTCCCGCTATCGTCAGCGAACTAAGCGTCGTCACAACGCAAATGAGGTCCACCTCCGAGGCGACAGTTCGCTTGCAACGCAGCGATGTGCGAACTACTTGGATAACATAGCTGTTTGGGGAATCAGTAGGGATGCGCAAGTATCAGTAGGGGTAACCGGAAAAGTAAAGGGCCCACAAACCTGCTCAGTCTATTCACTCTTTCTCCGATGCTCTGGAACATAACGAGACCCAGGGGAATACCCACAATGGCATAGCACATGGTGAAGAGCTTCCCGCCCACGGTGCTGGGTGTTGAATGTCCATAGCCTGAACCACAAATAAAGATATGTATAAAGAACGCAGCGTACAATAGGGCGACGTGACGACATAATTACCTATGGTGGTTAGCACTGTGGTTGCATAATAGAATGCGCCGGTGAACTTCCATTGTTGGCCGGCCTTGTGCGATTCCGATTTGAGCACCACCGTCTCCATGACTTTGAAATCTTCCGGCGATATACTGTACTTGCGTATTATCATGTCCTCGGCATCTGCAATTGCAACCAAATTACACCAAATGTTTAGTTTATGACGTAACTCAAGTTGAGGCGAGTCGAGTCGGCCAGGACACTCACCTTGCAGCGCCTCCCAGCGACGCTTCTCCGTTTCCGATTCAAGTGCGTCAAAGACAGCGGCGCCGACAAGCAGATACGTAAATGTACACACGATCAAGGATATCGTGCGCACATTTTGTTTCTTCATTCTTCATTTAGGCGAGGTTGATTTTATTGGCAATGTGGCTGGCATTCACTGACGGCGCCTCCGCTTGCGGTATAGCTGCTTACTGCTGCTGCGGCTGCTGTGGCTGCTGGGGTTCTGGCTGCACCTGCAACTTGTCCGGCCGCTGCCTTCCATATGTGCCACGCGCACCCTGCTGGCTTGCTGTGCTGTCCGTTTCGTTCAAAGGACAAACTTTTAAAATTGGGTTAAGCGCCAACAACAAGACACCCGACACCTCTCTTGCACTCGCTCTCGCGCTCTCTGCCACGTAACGGTTTGTCACTCCACTCCCGCCTTTGCGGCACTGGCACTTAAGTTTTTTTGGGCACGGCACAATTCACTTAGCACTTTCCTTGTCCTGATTGCATTACAAATAATGTCCCTCGACTATGGATCCGAATCTCGTCATTTAGCCGCAATGATGGGAAGAACCTAGTGGCCTAGCTGCACGGTCATAGCTCGCAATGGATGATGGTGCTTTCACCGTTGCTCTCACACACGCCGTTACCGTTACCGTTGCCGTGGGCCTTTGTCCTCGTCGCGTTCGTTGCGCCGCCCATGTCCTTGTGTTATTTATACTTCTGCCACCTTTGATGCATTCCATGCTGCGACTGCGACTGCAAGTGCAACTGCCTGCCCCTCCTCATCAGTGAGTGGCAGCGCCTGTAGTAGTGCTGTTCCTTCTGGTAGAGGGCGCAAAGCTTTCAAGGATGCTGTTGGTGGTGGTGGTGCTGCTGCTGACGGCAATTGCTTCGGTATGTCGCATGCACAGCGGCGGCATCTCGTCGGCGGGGCTTTTGCAGTGTCCTTCGGCTTCACTTATGCCGCACTCGCCTCCAACCGGGGGACAGACGGGTGGCTGGCTGCGTTGGTTGCGTGGAAATGACATAAATTAGTCTTTATGGCAAGTTGCACTGGGGCGGACTAAAAATAGATGCCAGTGTGTGGCAGTAGCTGGGCGGGGTGTGCAACCCATCACCTACGCGCCAGGATGCAGCCCCACATACACATCCTCCCTAATTTGCTGTCTTATTGATGCATCGGTCTAATCTGTCATCATCCACATCCGCCTAAACAAAACTCTGCTAACCCCCACCCCATTACGCGTACACTGAAACAAATTTATGTTAAATAATGACAACATAAATCTTGGCCATCATGGAACATTAACCCAACATATCCCCCATTCATTGTTCTAATGTTCAATGAACTAATGCTATTTAAAGTTTAATTATATCTGTTTTTTTTCTCCGTGTACCAAATTCAAACATGCAAATTAAAAATTCATTTGTATGCGTCCTTCGCAAATAAGCGCCTGGATTTTGTGGACACACTGGCAACTGGAAGCTGGCAAAGTGTGAAAGTGCTGTGCAGGCAATTTCAGATTCGGCGGTAACTGTATTTGGTGAATTATTAAAGCAACGGTATAATGAGAAAGAAAGCAACAGCCAGAACGAAAGCTCCGGCGTAGCAGTAAATCAGAAAGTTGCTTTGAAAATGGGTGGACTGGGACTGGAGAAAAAACAGCGTCTTATTGACGAACAATGGTTGCGATGCGGTATCTTTTAAATATGGCCATCCAGCAGCATTGCAGCATCCTCTGAATTATTAAAGTCCTACATACTCTCGGCATTCATACGCTATGCTCATGGTGAAGAACTTTTTGTTGACCGACTCGACTCTGTGTGTTTGTGTGCGCGTTGAAGCTTATACGCATACATACATACATTCACGCATACACGTACATGGTACACAGAGCCACACGCACTCGGGTATTTTTTTTAATTTATTGAGTAACCAAAACGTTGGTTCTGGGCTCTGTGGGGGTCTGTTGGGGTGGTTTGCCAGCATTTGTACACACACACACACTCAGATAGAAATAAGATACCAGGTTCGCAAAGGATGCCACAACACACACAACCGTGCCGTGCCGCCTCCGAGTCCGCCCTTAGTTAACTTTTTTGTTAGTTTGCCCAGCATAAGGAGTACTCTGCCGTTCGCACGGCCATTATCCGCATTATTTGTTAACCTATTTGGCCGACCCGCAATCGGAATCGCGCAGCCTCCCTCCCCCCAGTACTCGTGTTTCTGGTCTTCTGCCGTGCACTGGCAATGACAGTGACACTATCAAGAGTTCCGCCCCCTCCTCCGCAGTACCAATCATTTGCTGTATGCGTCTGTTCTCGTCCCCTGCGAGCGCCTGAGCGAAAAAAAAAACGTACAACCTGCCAGCCAGCACAAATGAATGCCTTTCCATGCCCATCTATTATTATATAAAACACACACACATACACATATTATCACTGCCTGGGTAAATTAGACCGCGTAATTGGCAATTTTCGGCAATATCGCTCGGCAGAGATCCTCTTATTTATCACTCGAAAAATGGTACACTTTTTTGCCTGGCAATTTTTTTCACTACAGCTAAATTTGTTCCTCGGCACGAACGGTTTCGATTGCGTTCCGCTTGCAATGCACGCGACTTTAGCTGAGTTTGAGAACTGCTCTGCTACGGCGCACAAACTGACAGTTGGGGCTGCTGGAGCCTGTGTCCTGTGCGGATTGTGAGCTTCAGGGTTGAGTCGAGCATCCTATCCTGCCTCGCTGTTCCGAAATTTCCGTTGGGCTTTTGCACTCTAAAGCTCTCTTGACAGCGTGCTGTTAGGCGCAAGTTTTGAACCGCATTTTGGGGGGGAATAATAGAGCGACTAATTTGAAACTTGAAAATATTTATTTTCTTTTCAACGTTGGCTTTACTTATTTACGAGTATATAGATCCTGTATTAATTTAAAATAATAATTATGCATCATCTCTCCACCTGAATTAGGCCCATTCATATTCATGAACTCGTCACTCTGTCGCCTTGACCATCCCACCCAGTGGCACAGTGACCCAGAAGCCGGGGACGTCCGTCACGCGAAATAATCTCAGATTGGTTGGGAAACGAAGCTGCACATAAACTAAAATCAATTTTTACAATTTAGTACAATTAATGTTCTGTGGCCTGGCCATGAATTAATAATTAAATGCAGCAAATAATAAATCAGTACTCCATGGCCTCTGGGGGTAGCACAATGTTACAGCCCAGAAGGCCGCGTCCGCTCCAGGCTTTTGGCACCAAAAGCAGATCCATCAGTTCGTCGCCGCGCTTCACTTTGAGCTGGACGTTCTGGTTCTGCATGTTTCTAACAACCTCGCCTATCTGGCCCAGATCTCCTTTGAAGTTGTTGCTGTTAACAGAGCCGAAGGTGCAGATGCTGTCGCCCACGCGTAAACCCTGCAAATGTCAAACGGAATTATGTCAGACAGGATCGCAGCGCAGAGCCTGTTTGGTCTTAGGACAGGTTCTACTCACCGCCTCTTCTGCCGGGGAACTCGGGCTGACTAGATTGACTATAACCATGGGGCGAATATCGGGAGGAGCAATAATGGATCCACCCATCACTCTGTCGCTGTCCAGCTCCAAGGCGGAGGCACGATTCACCAGCTCCGGGTCGGTGGTGGCGATCTCACTGTGGTACTGGTTGAGCAGGTTCTGGATTTGGTTCATCAGCTCCTTGTGATCGTTCTGCAGGCAAATTATCGTCTGGCGGGCCTGGCGCACTTGGTAGATGTCGATGTCGTTGCGTGGAAATCCTTCGGGGTCGATCAGGGGTCCGGTCATGCCAACATTGTCGTTCTGGAAGGGTTCGTTTGAAGGCTTTAGCTTCGAAGCCAACGCTGGAGCGCAGTTACTTACTGCAGCCAAAATTTGTCCATTTCTACTGATTTGAGCCTCCAGCTGCGTTTTGGCGGCCATCAGCCTCTCCAGGCGCTCCTTGGTGGTTATTCCAGTGGCCATGACTTGCGTTTTGCTTGTGAAAATCGGTGGGTTTTCTAGAATTGTAATTTGTTCGTGTTCAGCCTACCTATTTGCCACTGTCACTTGGATTTTTTAATAACAATTAAATTGGAGTCCGCAGCCCTGGTATGCTGGTAGCGTTGCCGTACTGGTGAAGTACTGTCCTGAAAATAGTGGTGCCGTACTGGTGAAATATTGCCCTGAAATAGCGTTGCCGTACTTGATTGCTGAAGTACTGCCCTGAAAATAGCGTTGCCGTACTGTGCTGAGATACTGGCATGAAAACAGAGTTGCCGTACCGATTGCTGCCCCGAGAGTAAACACAAAAAAATGTACAAATTTTGAGAAAAGCCAGGCACCGATTTGGATGTGTTTGTGCGAATTGATTACACACAATTGATTGAAAACATACACAAAAAGTGGGCCCGAAGCGCGTAGCACCAGCCAGTGCGGCCGATCGAAGATAATACGGAAGTACACGGCCCCCGGGTCAAAAAAAAAAAAAGTTTTTCAAGAGCCGTTTTCGGAGTCAGGCCAACCAGGCGCTACCTACTAAGTGCTCCTCCGCTCCTTGCCGTCAAAATACCCGACCTCTGATCATATCGGTGAGCAGTGCAGCGCCCTACTCATCTAGCTCGCCTCTTGAAACGATTCACACAATATGTGAGCGGTGGGCTGTGGGCAGTTCGGAAGTTTATGCAATGTTCTAGTTCTAGCCCACGAGACGGCGGGCGGTTACGGGGATACGGAGACGGAAACAGAGAAGGGAGCAAGGAGAGAGAGAGGGCAGAGTCGGCAGAAGAGCGTCGTTTTCCGTTGATACAAACATATACATATAATACATAGGCGTGTGTACAAATAGCGTGTGTGGAAGGGAGCAGAGAGTATCCAAATGACTGTGACCAGCACACACACAATGGAGGCACCAGTCAAAGCAGGACATCATCATCATCATAAGGGTGGAGGCGGTGGCGGCGGCGGCCAGCAGCTCGGCTCCAACAAGTCTGTCGATGTGGCCGGCAAGGAGCCGCTGGAAGAGGACGATGTGGACGACGAGATGACAGTACTGCTAGCCAATACAAACTTTCACTATGACGCGGCATCCGATATGGACGAGGCCTTTGTGGAGCACAAGGATAGTAATGAGACGGCAGACGGCGTTGCCGGGGCGGGAAGCTTTTATAACGAGCCCGAGCTGATCGAGGAGCAGCCACATCCGCAGGTCACTTGGCTGGATGACGACGAGATCGAGACACTGGATCGCGTCACCCTGGACATGGGCAACGTGTTCTTCAACCGCGTCGACAGCCAGGACATTATCTATCAGCAGAAGAAGAAGAACATCAAAATGGTCGGCAAGTACATAATGGGCGATGTTCTGGGCGAGGGCTCGTACGGGAAAGTGAAGGAGGCCATGAACTCGGAGGACCTGTGCCGCCTCGCCGTCAAGATACTCACGAAGCGCAAGCTGCGACGCATCCCCAATGGCGAGCAGAACGTAACGAGGGAGATCCACCTGCTGAAGCAGCTGAAGCACCCGAATATTGTCGAGCTCATGGATGTCCTCTACAACGAGGAGAAGCAGAAGATGTATTTGGTGATGGAGTACTGCGTGGGAGGCCTGCAGGAAATGGTCGACTATCAGACCGACAAGAAGATGCCGTTGTTCCAGGCGCACGGCTACTTCCACCAGCTGGTCGATGGCCTAGAGTACCTACACAGCTGCCGCGTCATCCACAAGGACATCAAGCCGGGCAACTTGCTGCTGTCCCTGGATCAAACACTGAAGATATCCGACTTTGGCGTGGCGGAGCAATTGGATCTCTTTTCGCCGGACGACACATGCACGACGGGCCAGGGCTCGCCAGCATTTCAGCCGCCAGAGATTGCCAATGGCCACGAAACTTTCGCTGGCTTCAAAGTGGACATCTGGAGCAGCGGGGTCACACTGTAAGCTCAGCCTTGCCTGCCACCTCTCCAGGGGCCAATTTTGATCCCACTAATTGGCACACTCGCATTTGCAGCTTCAACTTGGCCACCGGCCAGTATCCGTTCGAGGGCGATAACATTTACCGCCTGCTAGAGAACATTGGGCGCGGGCAGTGGGTTGCGCCCGACTGGCTCTACGAGCTGGACCCAGACTTTGCCAAACTAATTTTAGGCATGCTGCAAGCGGATCCCAGTGCCCGCCTTTCGCTGCAGCAGATACGCAAGGACACGTGAGTCGGAGATGGGCATATTCGCTGTTTGGCGGTATTTGGTCAGTAAAATCTTTCCCTTTGCAGTTGGTTCATATCCGCACCGCCGGTCACCGGCCCACCGATACCCATTCCTCCACTGAAAGGCGACAAATACCGATGTTCCACAGTACTGCCTTACCTGGAAGCCTATCACTACGGCAGCGAGCACGACCAGGAAGATGTCTATTTCACTGAGCACGATGTCAATCGTAAGTGCCTCAATCAATCCACGGGGCGCACTGATTTTCTATCGTTTGTATCTTTGCAGAGGAGCTGGCGCGACAGGCCGCAGCGGCCGCGTCCGAGATACGAGCAAAACAGTCAGCGGCAGCCCATGCTGCCTGCCACACGTACGAGCATCCCTCCACAAGTGCCGCTGCAGCAGCTGCGGCCGCAGCTGGACAGTCACTAGGCAATGGCAACAGAGACGAGATGCCGGCTAAGAAGAAAGGATCGGCGCTAAAGCGTCGCGCAAAGAAGCTAACCTCCTGCATCTCGGTGCGCAAGCTGAGCCACTGCCGCACCTCGTAAGCAGGCGAAGAACCTTAACCTAGCTGCTAAGTGTAATGAAAGAATAACTTCTCGTTAACAAATTGTGAGCAACTTTTTGGTTTTGTTTTCCCGTTTTCGCGTTTTTTTTTTGTTCGCCAAGTATTTGTAGCTATAGAAGAAAGTAGGTACGGCAGAGGACCCCAGCAGCAGCAGCAACAGCAGCAGCGGCAGAACCAGCAGAGACTCAAAGTCATCTGAGGGGGCAGTCGAGCTATACATATATCCATGTGACAATACTGTGTATTATATGAATCAAATGAATGAGTAAATTAGTCGTTACTATGATTGTACTGAAGAAGATAGAAGGATTGTGCCGTGCCCGAGCGCCGATCGATGAAGTGAGGGGAATGCTTTTGGGGCACACATAAAAGAAGAAAAATCTGTTTAAATGAAATGAAAATTCGTTGTTGGCTTCGTTATATTCAATACTCAAAATAATTAGACCCATTTTCAGTCGCCGAGGAATCAATAACTGCTGGACAGTACACACTCGCATGGCCCAGGCTGAGATTTTAATTTACAAATCTATGAATGAAACAAAAATCAAATAAAACGAACCCATTGAAGTTCAAATACAAATACAAACACTGCATTTACACACTCACACTCGTAATACTCCTACAACACTATAGATCCTTATTCTAGTTCGACGATCTGCAGCCTGGAGACGGGCAGCATTGCGGCTGTAGCTGCTGTCTCTGCTATTGCTGGTGGGACAGGCTTCTTGTCCATTAGCTCGGCCATGATGAACATCTGGTGGTAGTGCGGACCCAATTTGGACAGTTTACGTTGCATCAGATGGCGCAGCGTGTCCACATACTGAGGTGGAACCTTGGCCAGACTGGTGTTGCGCCAATGCAAGCCATTGTTGTCCACATGGAATAGCGCTGGGGAGGGCACATGATCCTTTAAGTAATTCCAGATGCACTCGCGCAGCAACAGGGCTATCTGCAATATAAATGTGGCCACATAAGCGATGCTGCGAAACGTATTAAAGCTCTCAAACATGCCTCAGCCGACTCGAAGTGTTCAATGATTAGATGCAGATTGGTCAACGGGGGCGGGATCAGCTGGCTCATGGCCAGCAGCTGCAGGAGCTTCTTCGTGCAGAGCATGAGCTCATCATTCGCCGCAGTTGCCTGAAATTTATTGACTGAGAAAGATTTTTCCTTGGTTAATGGTCCCCCAAGTTCACCAAGTTGCTGTACAATCTTGCTTACCATTTTTTCCCCGCCAGTGATGCAAGCACGTAGCGCACAGGGCACGCAAAAGCACTGACGAGTAGCAGAGGGCCGGTCTGTGGCCCGCTATCAGACCCAAGACTGCCCACAGAACCGGGGACGTAATGAAGGCACGCCTAATTTGCATATCTCTTTCCATAGTCACTTTTGTGAACTCCTCGTCCGGGAAGGGCAGGCCATTGTACATGACATCTGTGGAGACCAGCTCCACCAGCAGAAGCGAGACCAGCGAATACCCTTCCACATTGTTTGGCTTCTCCTAGCAAGCGGGAGGGGAAAATACATCATACATGCACCACAGGAAAGGTGTTGCCTTAAATTCCTTACCAAGTCCGCACAGCAAGCATTCAATGCTTTCAGATACAGAGCTTGCGTTTCCGCATCGCACGTTCGCTCATTTGTTGGCAGCACTGGCCGCAGGCCACGCCCAATGATACCCGAATGGAGCACCGAACGATTCGAGTTGGCCCCAGAGCTTGTGTGGAGGTTTTGCAGAATGAGGAGCTCATTTTCGGGAATTTCCAGCTCGTCCAACTTGTACTCCTCCAGCTGGCCCAACAGATGACCATGATAGAACAGGGCACCCTCCACAAGCTCCCGCAGACAGACGGTTCTCGCAATCTTGCGGGCGGAGCATTGGCGCTGCAGCAGGGCATAGGACCGATGAGCGGCCGCCGCGCGACGTATGACGGCTGAGGTAAGACATTATGCTTTACTTTACTTTTCTTTTGTGACCTTTTTTCGCACTTACTTTTCTCGGTGAGACCCACAAAGAAATACTTGACGCTAAGCACCGCTAGCTTGAGGACCACTGGAGTGCGCAGCACATTTTGGCCAGATCCTCCTTCAATATTGTTTAAGAGGTCCACAATGAGATGGGCCAAGCGCATACGGCTCGCATCTTCATCTTCGGCACGGCTATTCGGCGAGTTCGAGTGCGAGTCCGAGTCCTTTTCCCCCGGCTCCGTTTTAGGTCTTTTCCCATAACCATTGCCATTGCAAATGTCTTTGGGGCCCTCGCGCTTATTATTATTATTGGAATGTTGTGCCCTGAACTTTGCCGCGCTGCACTCGGCTGCATCCCTGTCCATTTTCAGGACCAGCTTGTTTGACGGTGCAGTCGAAGATTTGTACGATTTTGGGCAGACATTCGTTCAGAGCCTGGATCAGCTGCGTCGACCTGATGTAGGGAGCTACATTCTTGCTCTTGTGCATCCTGTTGAGGAAAATTAAGGTAGATTGAATTGGAATTGGAAAATACAACACCGCAGCACTTCCGCTTGAATTACTTTGCCAGCATATTCAGGTTGGAGAATGTATTGTACGCTTCTGTGGGTGTGCCCGCGGGCACGGGCAAGCGGTTGTTCACTTGCACGTGCAGCGTTATGTCCTCCAAGACCATTTCGAAGCCCGGCTTAAAGCAGGGAAAGTTCACCACGCCACTTTGTCCGCCAAGCAGCCGGATGAGGGCACCAATGCCATTCGGGTTGTGGGCGTAGGACTTGCTCAGCAGCTGGGATATCGTCTGATAGTATATATGAGGATGCTGCGAGGCTAAAGAGCAGAGAGGTTGTCAACAGTCACCACCACTGCATAGGGATACTCACAGACAACGAGTAGCAAACGGACAGCCGTCTGCTGCTCGAGGAGATTCGTGCTGAGACAGCTTTTCCAGAGCATGTATTTCGTCTCCTCGTAGGCAAGGTCCGCCAGCAGGGGAAAGTTACGCTGATTGAGCACCCACTGCTCCAGCTCCTGCATGGAATTGTCCAGAAAGTCTTGACACCACACAAACTTCTCAGCCATTTTGGCCGCCGTGATCAGAAGCGTGGCTCCGTGCTCGTTCATACGGAGCACTGCATTATTGAGCGTCGGCTGCATGTCGGCAAACATCTTGTTGCTCAGCCAAAGCGGGGACTTTTGTATAATCACTTCACACATGTCTTCAGAGTCTGCAGAAAGAAAGTGAACATTAGAGAAGGAATGGGGAATGATTTGGCTCTCACTAACATATCTCGACGAGCACATTGACCAAGCTCTGGAGAATCGCATCCGAGTAGTTTGTGGTGATCAGTAGAAACGGAACCACTGCGATATCGAGCGGTTTCTTTGGAGCAAAGCCGTCCTTAAGCATCTCTCGGAATGCAGCGCGCAGCTGCTGCTCGTGACACGACGTCATGTAGTCCAAGATGCCAGCCTCAGAGTCCAGATGACATCGATAGTCGTCCACAAAGCGCTTGATGCCACACTGAAGAATCTGCATGATGATTTTGTATGGAAAACAACCGCCCAAGCGTGCCACAATCCAATCAAAGGTCATGGGGAAGCGGTGGAAGGCATTCAGCATTATTTCCACGCAGGTCTCTTCCTCGGCGCTGGTTAGCTTGCGAAAGCAACTGTTGATGAGGGTCATTAGGCCGTGCATGGCACTGCATTCCAGCCAATAGTTGCACGACGCCGTGATGGTCATGCGGCGCTGCGTATACTTGTCCGAGAGCTTCGCCACCAGCTCCAGGCTCCAGTTGGCAATCAACGGTGGCCAGGCAGGCGGACCTTTCCACACCATATGCTGCAGGGCTGTCTTGACCATGTTGAAGCTCTCGTAATCTTGGGCACGCATCTGTTGCTTGCGGTTGCCGCCTTGCTTCACCTGCGACACCGGCATTCCCGTTTTCTGGTCCATCATTTCGGGCGACACATAAAGCTGAACGCTGATCTCGGCCAGAAGACCAAAGTACTCAAATACAATGTCCCGCGTAGCTGGCAGATCATCAAGGAAGCTCAGCCTGTGGATTACAGATTGGATAATAATGTTGTTTACATGTTTGTGGTGATGGGAATGGGAATGGTGTATCTTACGAGAGCTTGATGAGCGTGGGATTTGTCAGCAATTGTGGATTGCTGTGGCCATTATTAACCGTCTCTGTGAAGTGTTTGAGCTGATCCAACAGAGTTTGCCGCAACATTTTTGCTATTTCTGAATTTTTAATTTTTTAATTTACTTCTTATTCCGACCCTCAGAAATATACTGAAATATACCTTTAAAAATATACCGTAAATATACTAAGGAAAATCATATTCATCAATTTTGATATTCGATTTAATATTGCTAGCTAGGACAATACAAGGACAATTTCCCCCATTGAAAAGGATCCTGGGAAGTACCAAACACAAATAATGGTAAAAACATCATTTAATAAAACTGTTTACTCGTATTATCATATGTTCTTTATTTGTAATTTCGCGGTAATCAAGCTTTGAGCTTGTAGTTGAACTTTTGATTGCGACGCATGGATAAGGATAAGGAAAATGGATAAATCCGAAACTTTTAAGGATAAAACCCACCTCACCACATAACTCACCGTGCACCCATGGTAGATTTAGTCCTTCGGGGGTGAGCTCCTTACGAGGCCCTTAAAAAAAGCTTGGCCATTTTAATACTAGGGCCATACCTTGCCATGACCCGAAAGAGAGCACTCAAAACTCTCTCCGACTCATTTTTGCGTTTAAATTGTGAGCCCAAAAATATCCCAGAAATATACCGAAATATACCTTACATATACTGACCAAGATGCGTTGATATCCTTGATTTTGATTTGCGCTTTAATATTACTTGCTAGCTAGGATCCCCAGAACTGAAAGTATAATTTTATCCGATAGATGAATAAATGTCCTACAAGATTGACTAGCTTTAAGAACTTTTTTTTATTGGATTTTTAGAAAATAAGGCATGAGCAGAAAGGGTGTGATATATTTTGTCGTCTTTTTTTTTTGAAAATAATTCTCCGACTCGCCAGCGCGCCAACCAAACCATTCAAATCTGCAATAACCAATCGATCAACTGGCGCATAAATAATCTGAATTGGTAGTTTTCCACTGGCTTAAATGCATTTTGAGCCACTTTGCATTTGAATGTACATATGAGTGAAAGAAACAAAGTTCAAAAGTAAATCCAAATAAAGTTTGCAATGAACTAATTTGAAATCAAGCGTGGCTTATCATGCAAATTTGAGGTGACATTGCATTTGGTTTTGGTGGTGCGGTGCAGATTGCTCGACTTGGAACTTAAATATCCATCAATTAATATTATTTAGCTCAATGGATTGGTTTCTGTGTCAACTTGACTGACCTTGATATAATTTCACGATGGCCGGCCAATGTTCAAATATCTTGCGCAATTTCTAATATCTCTCTGTTTTTATATGCGTACTAAACCCCCTCGAGCCCCTGCCAAGCCAAGCCAAGCCACGCTCGCCATCATCATCTCCATCATCTTCATCTTCATCTTCGTCATCATTGCTTCTTCTCGTCGCTGTCTGTATTCAGATTCAGATGTGTGTTGATCGATTTGCTTTGAACTTGTTTGGGCTATTGACAAATGTCGTTAAAATGGACTCTACACTCGGTTCGCTACGTGTAGGTTTGTTGTATTGTATGGGAAGTCCAGTTACCGTGTTAATTCCATGTATTATTATCTTTCAATATGCTTCTATATATACACCTTCTATATACTATATATGTATCTGCACATGTTTTATTGTTTTTGGCAAGCCTTAAACGGGTTTTCTCTCTCTTGTACATATGACTTGTGGTTTGTTTAGACAGTCAGAGAGGCGGAGGGCTAAAAATTGACTCGTATCTCTGTTTATTATTCTTGTCCGTCTTTGGTATTTCACACTTTCAATTGCATTGCTTCAGCCAGCCCAAAACATTCCACACTAATGTGAATGCCGAGAATGATTTGCAGAATCAGAAAATGTTGATTGACTTAACCGTTATTTAATAATCATAGCCACAATGGCCGGTGCAACACAGCCACAGTACAGTCCGCTGCAATGCAACGCTACGGCTGCCTTTGTGGATGAATTGAAGGGCCATCGTATCAGTCATCGAGAGTTGCACAACATCGCGCCGGGTCGCATGGGACTCGAAGGGGCCATTGGACTAGTAACTGCAACTATACTTGTCCCCATAGCTGAGGTCGCAACTGAGCTGCCTCAAATGCTGATAGGATTCCGACCGGGCTGGCTGTTCCCTTGGGCGCGTGTTTCGTGCATTTGGTAATTTTACGTGAATGGTAACCTTGAACTCGGACTTTTTAGTATCGTTTGTGTTCGAATAAGGCCAATCGTACTAACGAGATTCCAAAGCAGCTATAAAAAGAGCTAGACGGCAACACAAAAACTCTTCAACTTGGCCCAATAAACAATGGCCGGCGTGCAACACCCACCAAACGCTCTCCATACATGGAAACGGTCCATCCATCTGTGTAGCATCATCAGCATTACGATCCGCACCTGTTCGGGCCTGGGCCAATGATTGAGATTGAAATTAAAGTCAATGCCTTCTGGGCTCAAGGTTACACCAATTAAGATATACTGGGGAATGCAGAAAAAATTAAAAAATTACACGAAGATGCGCAGAAAAAGTCATTGTACCGACAATGGAGTCGGGGGTGGTTACCGGAAGAGGACAAGTCCAGCCATCGAGTGGCTATTAATTTTGGTCTGGTTGATGGTCAGCAATTGAGTGGGGGGCTCCACTAAGGATGCCATAGTTCCTTCAACTTAGATACAGAATGAACTTTAAGATGTCTTGTGGGGAAATATACAGAACAGATAACCGCAAGCGGAAATTTTTACGGAAATTCCTGTTGGTTCGCTCGGAAGTTTAAGCTTTAGTCATTCAGCCACTAGAGAAGCCCTTGAGTAGCTTGTATTCAAATTTCTGCCTAATATGGGTGACGCGTGTATCGCATCTCTTCGATGGGATCACCAAGGGCTACGTACTGCCGCCTCATGAATATTCAGCAGATCTCACGCTGATGTTTGCTCAGCTCGAACGCAAGCAGAAACTCGTATACATATATATGCGAGGGAGTGTAGGGGTTTTTGTCATAACTTGTCGGAAAGAACAACTCTGTAGGGGTATTGTACCACGCAATGAACTTTGAGACTTTTTAGCATGCAAACTAGAAATTAAGTTGTAGGTACTGGCTACTGATCAGCAAGTCACTCGGTCAAAGCTGTCCCTTATTGGGGGCATCCCAATTGGGCTCTTCTCTCTGCCTGGATCCTGCCATTCAAATTGTGCTACCCATTGATCGATCGGGTATACGGTAGGGATCGTTCCCCTGGGGATGGATATGCTACGCTTGTTTGTTTCACAAGTTCACGGCGCGTTTTGGCCGTTTATTGATCAGGCAGCTGGCCTCAAAGCAAACAGTGGAATCGGGCTGGCTGGGCTGGCTGGCTGGCTGGCTGGCTGGCTTGGCTGGTGACAGCAGTTGGACACGGGGCGGCCAGTCGCTCTTTATTATAAATATGTAAGAGCCAGAAAACAAACTGGTTCCGTCGCAGAGGTTCGTCTGCTCTTTTCGAAACATGAAATACATATTCAAACAAAATCTGAGCATAGATGTCACATTTGATTTGTGTTTGAGGCGTCCTACTTGTATTCTCTTTTCGTTTTGGTTTTCACATTTTTTTTTTTTGCACACTTTTCCGAACGAACTGCGAAGTTTGAGGTCTCTGTAATTATATGCAAGGCAGGGCTGGTCAGGGGTTAATTAACGGCTTTTCAGGTGCTCTTTGAACGGTGCAATCACCATTACAATAGCAAAGAGCACAAGGCTTAAGGCAAGTAAACCCATTAATCGTATAGTCAAAATTGATTGATACTTGGGTTGACTAGTTGCTAATAGAAAATTACCCCAGCTGAGATCAAAAGGATCAAAATTATACAACAGCCGAAACATTACAGTTGCAAAAATATTTTGTTCATTCAGGCTGAACAGCAACGACCTTTGGTTCCACGGTAGATTGTAGCCAACGTTAAATAAGACATAAGGAATCTAACCAAAATTCGATCCAAGAATTCATTTGGCAGGTAATGGGACTGTAGTTTGAATTTTAAGAAGTTCATGATTCTGACCGCAATCGATAAAATTCGATAAATATTAATGTCAATAAATATTGTCAAAGAAATGTCAAAGTTCGGATATTCCCCTTAGTAGACGCTGAATATAATATCAAATCGTAATTAAAAAAAAGTTCCATATAAGTAGCCCTCGCAGCACGCATGCATGGATAAGAATTGACATTGGTAGAACATCCGGGTTGTGGGCTTGTGAATCATATGAGATCGGAAAAGCTCATTGCTGGCTCTTTCATACATCTTCACGAATACAGCACGCTCGCGGGAGCCCTAGAAGTAACGGGTATAGCAGCAGAGAGAAAAAATCCCCGCAAACATTGGCAATTCTATTAATTATCGGCTGCACTTTGGTGTGGGTGCAAAGCACAGCTCCAAAGGGCTGAATGGGCTTGCTCTCAGTCGAGCATCCTTGCAAGCGGCCCCAAAGTCGGCAGAGCGAGAGCGACCCACCTACAACACATGCGAACATAGACTGATCCAAGTACACACACACACACACACATATGCATGCATGAGTGCTGACAACCTGTTGCTGCCGCTGCTGAGCTGTGCTCAGAGACTGGCCGCCGTTCCCGCTCACCGAAAATTCGCCACGCCACCAACAGCGCTCCTATGACTCGTATAAAAGCAAAGCGGCAGCGTGAAATCAAACTTATTTTGATTTTTGATTTGAATGTGAAAACGTACGCTCGCTCAGTCGCTGTTCAGTCCAGTCTAGTCGTAGTATTGTGGTGGTCAGCAGCATCACCAACAGCAGCCACAGCAGCAGCAGCAGCAGCAACGGCAGCAACAGCCGCAACCAGCAGCCAGCAGCCAGCCAACCTATCAACTTAGCAACCTAGCCAGCCGCAGTTTCTCTCCGATTGTGATGTAGTTAACAACCAAAATATCGAATAAACATGGTACAAAAGTGTGTGTGTGTCTGACGCGTGTGAAAGCCCTGATATAGAAAGGAGTCTTCAGCATTCCAAATCAAGGATAATTGTATCGAATCGAAACGAAACGAACGAGAGTGCGGCGAACGAGCAGTGAAAAGTTGAATGCCAAAGCAAAGCAATCTTTGTAAATCAGCTAAGTGAATTAATCTTTAAATCCA